TATATTACTTTTCATAAATTAAAAGTAATGTAGACTATGGATCCAGGAACAGAGATAATTCGGCTGTTTGAACTGTTGTACAGATAACGTTACAGAGTTTGTCTGTCTGTCTACTCTATCTATCTATACAGTATCTGTCTATCTATCTATCTATACAGTATCTCTGTCTGTCTGTCTATCGAAACAGTATCTGTCTATCTATCTAAACGGTATCTGTCTGTCTGTCTTTATATCTTTCTGTCTATCTGTCTGTCTATACAGTATCCATCTGCCTATCTATCTGTCTGTCTATACAGTATCTATCTGTCTATCTAAACAGTATCTATCTGCCTGTCTATCTATCTAAACTGTCTGTCTATCCATCTGTCTATCTATCGTTCTGTCTGTCTGTCTATACAGTATCTATCTGTCTATCTAAACAGTATCTATCTATCTATCTATCTATCTGTCTGTCTGTCTGTCTGTCTATCTATCTATCTATCTATCTTTCTGCCTGTCTCTATGTATGTCTTTCGATCTCTGTTTCAATATTATTAAAAACAGTAATCTGTCCACACCCCATTATTGAACCTTAAGCCCCCACCCGCTATCAACGGATGGGACCTGTTTAAGGATTCCTCTCTTTATTTTAATGTTAATTTCTTTGTTGTGACTGCCCAGTCGCTAGTTTCTAGTTACAATGAGCAGATGGCTGTTCATTGTTTAGTAACTATGCCCCCACAGGTTGCATGGTAGGTGGGGGCACAAGGGAGGTTCAAAACCTCCCCTATACTTATATAGGATCATATTAACATTGTCTCTTTAAAGTGGCAGCTGGCTAGCAAGCCCTGACCAGCTACTATATGATTAATCCTTGCTTTGCCAGTGAATTTGTAATAATGTTTACGCTGCCTGCTAGCACTTCCAGTGGGTGTTGTTACTCCAGATTATTGCTTGCTTACCTAACAGCACTGCTTTTAAACCAGACACCAAATGCATTCGACCAATTGTCACAGATTCCATTCTGGTAGGAATTCAACCATTTTCACTAGATTTTGGTTCCAAAATATGTATTTTCAAAATATTAAAATATCAAAATATATCATATATAAATAAATATATCAATATATCAAAACATTAAAATATTTTTCAATATATTAAACAATTTAAAAATCTTACCCAACAATATAGGACAAATCAGGACAAAATCCAGTGTTTAGTAAATAACACTGTAACGATGTAGGTTCCATGCTATACACTCTCTCAAAAGACCATCATCAATTTTGGGAGTATGTTGTTTTTTCTTTTTTTATATAGGGAATGTGAATGAGAGGTATACAGAAAAAAGTAAAATCATAATATAGAGAAAACCAACATTCTAGAGGACATTAATATTACTTTTTTTTCAGAAGAGAATTTTGGAAGGACTTTTATGTATGGAAATAACTCTTAATATGTTTTGATACTATATAACATATATCATTGGTGAGGTCTTACCTAAAACTTGGAGTGCCATTCTTGGCACCGGTTCATGAACAAAATAGCATAATGGAGTTGGAATGCTCATTGGTAACTACATAAATAAGAACAAAATTCAATTACGAAGAGTGATTAAAATAAACTGGGCTTGTTTACTTTGGAAAAGAGGCACCTGGGAGAAATGTGATTACCTTGTAGAAGTATCTTCAAGGTCATTCTCCGGGTGTCTCTAGGGAGCTTGTCATTCGATTAGCTGAGCAAATAATAAGAAGCGGTTATTTGAGTTAAGAGGTAAAATGGTTCAAGATGCAACAGATTAAGGACCTCTTCTCAGTAAGTGTAGCAAGGGATTGCACTAGTAAATAGGTCTTAAAAAAATAAGAACTTCAGAAAGGTTGAGAGGGCCGGCAAAGGTTTACAAGAGCATTTACACTTCCTTAATGGTAAATGATGGCAGACTCAACAGTTTAACAATTATTTTGTATTATATGGTGTCATAACAACTTGATCCTAAAGACATGGTACTAACAGATAATGCTTTAATATTATTTGGTATCAGAAACTTTGTAAAGCTCTGCGTCTGCTAGAGAGACATATCATGACAGAATACATTTCCTCAAAACTTTTTTTTTTAATATAAGATTCCTTTCATCAAGATTTGAAAGGAAACAGATTCATTTTAAGTGAAGTATATGTAAAAAAATTAGCAAAAAAAAAAATATCGATACCTTTAGTATACGACAGGATCCTTCAGCCATTTACATACACCTTGGGTCGAACAGTGTTTGGAAACAGACAGATTTTTAAAAAGATATCATGTCGACTGCTTTCATCCAGACTGGTAACTTATAGGACTTGTTTATTTTTCAACTCACCTCTCCCTACAGCCAGTGGAGTCGGCCGGCCTCTGCTGATGATGTCCAGAGGAGGGGGCGTGGCTTTCACTGCTCTTCTCCCAGGACCGCTGGGGAGTCTAGGAGAAGAGCAGAGGAAGTTACGCCCTCTCCTCTGGACATCATCAGCAGAGGCCGACTTCACTGACTGCTGTATGCTGGTTGCTGCTCCTGCTGTCTGCTGCCCACCCCTTCCTGGCTCAAGGTAAGACTCAGGAAGGGGGAATACACTTTAGTTTTTTTTTATTCCCCTCCTCAGCCCTGTCCCCTTAGTCAGCCCCTGTCACCCCTCCTCAGTCCCTTTCCCAAATTGTAGCCATCAACCTACTTCCCCCCTACATTTCCTAAACCCCCAATTACAGCTTATACCCTCCACTACAGCCCCTGTCCCCCCTTTACAGCCCTGTCCCCTTACTCAGCCCCTGTCTACTGGTTTTAAAAGTGTAAAGTTTGGGTGTATGTGTGTGTATGAGTATGTCTCTGTGTGTGTGTCAGTATGTCTGTGTGTGTGCGCGCCAGTATGTCTGTCTGTGTGTGTGCCAGTATGTCCATGTGTGTGCAAGTATGTCTCTGCGTGTGTGCCAGTTTGTCTGTGTGTGTGTCAGCCAGTATGCCTGTGTGTGTGTGTGTGTGTCAGTATGTATGTCTGTGTGTGAGTGCCAGTATGTCTGTCTGTGTGTGTGTCAGTATGTCTGTCTATGTGTGTGCAAGTATGTCTCTGTGTGTGTGCCAGTTTGTCTGTGTGTGTGTCAGCCAGTATGCCTGTGTGTGTGTGTCAGTACGTCTGAGTCAGTATGCCTGTAACAGTGTCTTTCTGTATGTCTCTCTGTGTGTGTGCCAGTTTGTCTGTGTGTGTGTGTGTGTGTGTGTGTGAGCCAGTATGCCTGTGTGTGTGTCAGTATGTCTGTCTGTCTAAGTCAGTAACAGTGTGCCTTTCTGTGTGTGTGTGTGTGTGCCTGTCATTGAGTGTCTGTTTAGGTGACTGCCCCTCCGCCCCCCATCAATCGGATGGGAAAGGTGTTTTTACTCTCCTCTTGGTGCAATGGGCCCCTTGACTGGATTTGCCCTCCAGGCCTAAGGCTGCCAGCCCTCCCCTGACTGCCAGACCAGTGTGAACTGGCCATGCTTGCAAGTGATAACAAATGATTTTAACTTTTAAACCCCTGAACCTATTCAAGTGAATTTTGGATATTTTTGTCCCCAAGTTATACTGGTTAAAATAATATAAGTTTTATGTATGTACGATGTAAATTCACAAAGTTATAAAAATGTATAAAAAGTGTAACTTTTCAGCTTGGAGATAATGGAGTAGTGTGGCGAAGTGTACTTCATCACAAGTAGATACAGTAATTGACTCAATTATCTCCTAAGCAGAGGGGAGGAATATGATGGGTGTGTTTCTATTGTCCCATTGTGTCTTATTGGCTGCTGTACTTGCATTGTATGTGTTGTAATGTGTTTATTGGTTGTTCTTAAAAACCCTGTGGGTGGTACTATGTGTGGAAAACCTGCATAAAAGAAGGCCCTTTGGTGCCAAGTAAACAGAGTTCTTCTTCACCCTCAATCTAGAGTCCTGTCTCTTATTGGGGCAATTGCTTTATCACTACAAGGGATTGCTATGCTCTGCATGCTCCCTTGAATAATCACTTCTAAGCTCTTTTAAGAGCTTGTTCCTGTCTTGCGGTGTCTACGGTGGTTATGGTGTCGGCTGGAGTGCTTGGAGCTCTCAGGAAGCGCTAGGAGCATCCTTCAACCGAGGTACCCAGTCGGGGTGCCAGGTGATGCGTTACAAACAGAAATGGTAAGAATATCATATTATGTGTACTGATGGCATAATGAGGCAGATTTATAACATATGCTAAATGAACCTGCTTGGAATATTTATGATTATGTAAATTACTGACATTGTAGGAATAGATTTAATACCACTGGGTTTGAGAGGTTGGAGCAAAGAGACAAACCAAGAATATGCAGTGGGAAGAATAACATAAATCATGAGTAGAAAGTGTGTAGAATAGCCTAAATCCCTGCAATGCTGCATAATCAGTTGCCTTGTGTGTGTTAGAAAGACCTCAACCTGGACTCAACCGCCACCACAAGCAAGCCAGGACAGTCAGGTAGTTACTATGCAAGCGTAGGTGAGAATAATTTTTGTTAAAGAGATAGGCTAAACGTTATCATAACCATGTGAGAAATACAGAGGGAATGTAATAAAATAATTGTGCATGGAGACAATTTCCTCTGGGTGTGAGTGCCAAATCATGAAGAGAGTCCATCAAGCTATGTAAAGTCGAGGATAAATAATATATGACAACAGGTCAAAAATAAACAAAAATTGTGAAGGCTTGGTTGTAGCCCACTGCAGACAGGAGCATTTGGCAGGCTCAGCCTATGCCCTTCATGCAGGGTGGTGGGACTCAATGCGGTAGTGCATTTAAGTCCCATGTGTCTGTGCTCTACTGGCTCCAGCAAACCGATCTCACAAGCCCCTCCTCTAGTAGTAGGCAGGACGTGATTTCGGGGCCTTCCATCAGGGTTCCATGTATAACCATGGGCATGAGTCATCCGGGGTTATGAGTGGCATGAGGGAGCGTGACCCTTGGAGGCGGCAGCGCACTGCAGCTTTCTGAGGCCCCAGCCTCCACTTCTTCACCTTCCTGGGTCCGAGAATAGCCTTGCGGGTGTCAGCTGCGCTTCTCGCTTCACCATACCTGGTTGGAGCATAGCCGCAGCTTCAAACAGCACCGAGCGCCGCTGGATCCTGTTCAAAAAGTGTGTCCACATTTGCTCACAGGCCCAGGTTAGACGCTCCTCTTGTGAGACACATGTCTTGGGTAGACTGTGGACTGCAGGCTCAATTTTGGTGGCCATTATAGCTCGCCGGGAACATGGAGATGATCGGGAACGTCGGAGCTGCCAGGCCTGGTTGAGGTGAGAGTGGTAGCACCCCAGTAGGGACCGGGATAAACCCCGCTGGTCCCAAGGGGTGGAAGCATGCTCGTCCGTGTAGCTAACCCGTGCTGCAAAGAGAGCGGTGCCTCCCCATGTCTCTGCCGTCCACAGGCCGCAACTTTGTTTCTCCATACAACCTCCAGCCGCCTTCTTGGTCATGGCAAAATTGGTGCTCACAAGGTTCTTAGGGGCATCCAGCTTGTGTTCATTCATGAAAAGGCAGCGGTTGTTAGGAAAAAATGGGCGATGTAAGGGTCATAGATCCGGAGCTCAGTCTAGATGCAACTAGCTAGCTCAGCAGTCAGGCTCCATCCCTCTTCCCCCTCCTTTTTAACCCCTTAAGGACACATGACGGAAATATTCCGTCAAGATTTCCTTTTATTCCAGAAGTTGTGTCCTTAAGAGGTTAAATAACTGAGAAGTACTAGAGAGTATTTGGAGTTATTAGAATTGCAGTTCAATTAGGACTAAAGAGCAAATGATGTAATATGTTTGCTATCGGCTATTTATGCTTTATTCAATATATTAACCATCATACTGCATTCGGCATCTTTTATCTCTGAAAATAATAGTGTGAGTAATGCATCTTTCAGATGACACAATGTTCTAGAAAATACAAATGTTTTATTTAAACGAAAGTTGAGTGTATTTAATGCTTCTAATGTTCAAGATAAGAGAAGAATCTCAGATTTTTCAGAAGAATCTTTTCCTTGCTTCTTTGACCCATAGATCAGTTAATATCTTATATGCCAACATTTATTGGTTGCAAAGTGTTTCTAAATAGTATTTTGTTTTTTTATCCTTGTAAGAACTTGCGCAGAGAGAAAAAAGAGAAACTTTAGTGTATTGATTTTAATGTTTTATTTAGAGCTTCATTGTTTACAGAAACATTGGGGTAAGACGAAAGAGGTTTTGATTTTTAAAAAAAATGGTTCTTCATGGCCAGAGGAGACTCTCAGCCCACTCCGATGTAAAAGAAAGAACTTTTTTTTTTTTTTCATTATTTTTTTTTTTTTTTTAATAATAGATAAACAGCTAAATTTCTAAGTGGGACTGACAATCACCATGGAAACCAGTGGAATGTTCCCGCTGGTTGTTCAACTTTGAAAATTTCGACCCAGGATTTTTTGTGGACCTGCCATGAATCCATGGATAAAGCATTTTCTACAGTTTTAACATACCGTAGATAATTTTACTACATCCATAATTACTTTATGAATATTTTCTGTATTGTTTTTCCCTCTCATGGTTCCTGCAACTACTGAGAACCAACAACAACAAAAAATATGTTTTCTTCATTATAGTTAAAAAAAAAGAAAAAAAGAAAGACGTCTTAATCAGTATTTAGATTTAGTCATTCAATTGATTACTTCTCGGTTTTAGATAATAAATCTGACTGGAACCTTCTTAACAGGCCTATGGGACATAAATGTGTCTGAAATCCATCAATAAGATCATTTAAGTCTGTCTGAAAGCTAGATCTGTATTACACCGTCTCTGTAACTGATACATTTTACTCTTAGGGATATTGGATTTGTTATAAAAAGGATGCGTTGCCTCAAAATAAATAGTTTACCGAGCAGGGAAGGTTTAAGAATGTGTCCAGGAGTAAGAGGGAAGAGTTACACTTTATCTAATACAAAAATAATCTACTAAATCTTGAGATGGTGATTGTCCGACATTTACAAGCAAACACCTCAGAGAGTTTATAAATAGAGACACCAATGAATGGGTGTGAGTTCGAGTGTTTAGTGGGTGGAAAGCCGCTGTGCCCATAAATCACTGCTTTTTCAGAGAGTTATGGAATAAGCACTGCACTGCCATAGAACGTTAAATGGTTACTCCAACCCTTTTTTAGTAATGAGTTTTTTTTTAAATTCTCAATGCCCTATTAAGCATTACTCATTACCCCTTCCCCCCTCACCCCTCATTTAAACCAAAAAAAAGGAACAGCTTACCTGGAATTCAGCAGTGAGCAAAGCTTTTTGCTGAATGTCTTGCCCTGTCTAATGGCACCGATGACCTCTTGTGGTCCAATCAAATGCTTCTTTTAGACCCTTCGCTCCGGCTCAGAGTGCATGCGCATGCTCAAACTCAGAGAGGGGTAGCAGGAGAGAATAAGCTGGAAACATGGAAGGAGAGGTTAAAAAAAAACAAAAAAAAATTTGCAGCAATTTTTAAGTATAGGCAGGCGGGGAAAGAGGGAGGGCTGTAACAAGGAGGGCAAGGGGGGGAGTGTGGGAAGTGCTATATGCACTGACAACAGCTATATTTCTTGCACAGAACTGACATTTGTCAGACCGGAACAGAGTTTCAAGTGTCATAGCAAAGGGTCTGAATACTTATGTCAATGTGATATTTCAGTGTTTTTCCTTTTAAGAATGTTGCAAAGTTTTCTAAAAAAAAAAAAGGCAGGTGTAGATTGATGGGAAAAAAATTATTTAAACAATTGTAGCACAAGGCTGCAACATTAAAACTGTGAACAAACGAAAGGGTCTTAATACTTCCTGAATGCAATGTATATATCCACCATACCCAGCATGTTTTCATATATAATATTGTCATATTTATGAAAATGCATGGCAAGAGTTGCCCTGCAGTATGTATAATGCATATTCTGCAGGATTCTTCATTGCCTAATTACATAATCTCATACACGGAAAAAAAATATATATTGGACCAGTGAAGGCCCTAAAAAGAGTGTAACAATGAAAAGGAGAGGAAGCCCTACTTTTAATATTTCTAAGGATGAAAGAATAGCGTGTAGAGAGAGAATTACACTTATACAGTAGGTAAGGTATATGTACAAACGAGCTAAGGTTCAACTAGTGTCGGAACCACACACTCCCAGCGTGTATACTAGCGGCAGGTTAAAAATCACAGGGAGGAACTGAGCCTCAATAACCATAAACCAAAAAAGGCTACTGAAAAGAATCTATCCCTGTGTAACCTCGGCACCGTGGACTAACCACTAATGCCTGCCTGAACCAGTCTCCCTGTCTAAAACAAAATAAAAATAAACCAGTGCATACTAAATTAAAGTGCTACCATGTGAAGTGAAAACAAAAAAAGAGAGAGCTCGCCTTCTTCTGAATTACACATACTACATGGCAACCTTTTTCATGTGCTGCCCACGGACAAATATACGTGAAACATGGTAAATCTACATCCACCCCTGACACAAGGACCTTCAATTTTACTCAGCTCTACCTGCCCACCCTGGTCACTTCTAACTATATAGCATGCCCTGCCAGCTGTTTTGGAACCACAGTCAATCACCTCCTCATTCCCTTCACATCAGTTACTGCAATTATACTATTAACTCTCTCTGCCATCACGTACAAATTCCTCTGCTATCGCTTGTCTCATCTCCCCATTTTAACCTTTAGATTGTAAGCACACGGGCAGGGCCCTCTACCTGTTGTATCGGTCTGTTTTTATTGTTTTTCTTTTTCCCAATTGTACAGTGGAATATGTTGCTGCTTTATAAGTGCCAGTAATAATAATAATTATATATATTTTTTTTTATTATTATTATTTTTTTTTATGATCAGAGAAAAAGGCAGAGAAAGGATGCAAGTTAGTTGTGGTGAAAGTCAGTTGTGTTGTGTTGAAACCGATGTTCGGGTAGGCCTGTAAATAAAAAGGGCAAAAAGGATTAACAGAGCCAAATATCATAAAGTTTCTCTCAATTCCCTCTCGGGTTAAGGAATAGATCGGTTATATAAGATGGATTTCCATCGTCCTAATCTTTTTATTATGTGAACTACAATGTTTTTACTAGATATTAAAAATCTGCTCCAATTCTAAATGAATGACCTGAAAATGATAGAGGGTCGCACGTGCAAGAAGAAGTTTGATGTAGTGAGTGAGTTACCGTGTAACGTATCCCCAAGTTGGCCAGTGTAGCGGTACTTACCCTCTCTGGGGGCCGGCCGAGGTCCTCTGTTCCCGCCGAGCGCGGTCCTGCATCTGCATGAGCCGTGTGCGGCTCGTCCGACGGAGTTTACAGGAAGGCGGGCACTGACCGTGAGACGCGGTCACGTGCTCCGCCTCCCTCACAGTGCGCGTCGCACGTCTCGGGCGCGCTCGAAATGTGAAACGGTCTCCCACTGGTCCATGTCATTCCACATTTCCCATACACTCACATTTTTGGGGGCGTGGATATGACAGGGGCAAATCAAATTGAACACTAGGGTATTTATACTCACCTTTCCATTAGCTCCCTGCCCTGTCGTGGTTTCTGATTCAGTTCCCTGAATGCTTGACCTTGGCTTTGTATCTGACTCCGTTTTTCTCTTTATCCCTGCTTTGTCTTGTTTGCCGGCTTCCTGACTCTTGTGTACCAGACCTTGGCTAGTTCTTGTTTTCGCTGTCTCTCTGTTCCCTTGACCTCGGCTCGTTCTTGATTCTGTCACTTCTCTGTACTACGTCGAGTCTGGCCATTCTAAGGCCCGTAAGACGTATCTGCTTTATCTTGTCTCTTGTTGGACTAAATCTTGCGTGTTGGGGTACACTACCGTGACAGCCAGTGAGTGAACGGCAAAAATGGATCAAGTATTTTTACTGGGCACCATTTGTTTTTGGTAGGATACAGGTATATGTCGGTAGGAGGCCCCATTAGATTTTTTTAGAATGTCGCAGGGTAAGTTTATCATGAGCCTCTGATTTTTTGGGGGGTTCCCTGATTTTGAGACATTGTAATGCCTCAGCAGACTTTTCTATGGTAAATTTATTAGACCTTAAGAAACCGTAGAATGCTGTGTATATAGATCTGATAGTGCCTTACATTTCCAACAATAGGCCGGCGTTTAGGGAAACCTAAGCTTTGTATACCTTGAACATATTTTTTATAGGGAAAGAGAACATAAATGTTTTGTGGCTGGGAAACGCACTAAATAAATTATGTTGTACGCCTATGAGATATCATTCAATGGAATTATGTGATCATTTTAGGTTGTAGTGGCAAAATGAAGGGAATGCCACCAGTGTTGATTATGAACAGGTTGCTAATCTGAAATTCGGTAATAAGCCATACAATAACGGCTTACTCAGCAACTACTCAGCAACTAGCTAGCTCAGCAGTCAGGCTCTATCCCCCTTCCCCCTCCTTTTTAAATAACTGAGAAGTACTATAGACTATTTGGAGTTATTAGAATTGCAGTTCAATTAGGACTAAAAAGAAAATGATGTAATATGTTTGCTCTCGGCTA